GTGGCAAAGGACAGTGTTGCTCCACCTCCTGTACCATTTGGATCCTGGTGCTTCTAGGCATGAGAAAGTGAAACTCTTTCTACTTCTGGAAATGAGTCATTTCCAGGAAAGAAATGGGAAGCTGCCTCATCAAACCCTCCCCCTGGGCTGTGGGCTGTGGTGGGAGGGGGAGGACTTTGGTATAAAAACAGGGCAGCAGTGAGAGCTGACCCACCCACCAGCCAGGGCCAGGAAGGTAGTAGCTCCTGACTCTCAGCCTGCCGCTTTCCACATGCCCTCTCTCCCAGGTATTTCTCTGGCTACTTATCTACAACTTCCATCCTATCTTCATCTTTTGAGCCAATGGAGAGTGAGATATTAAGGTTGGATAATCCAGGGAACTGCTTTCGTCTGAAGGCGCTTGCCACTTCCCTACGGGAAGGCAAATACCAGGAGAATGCCTTGATTCTGATCATACATTCTGACTTTAGCTCCTGGTAAGCCAAGAGCTGGTCAGTTAGGCAGCTTGGCTGAAAATGGGTCCTGTGAAACAAGCAAGGAGGTGGACCCCTGACGAGGCAGGATAGACAAGCTTCGGTCTGGCTGTTCATCAGTGATAATTCAGAGGCAGGTCTCCCTTCTGACATGCTCATCAGGTTCTGATTACAACACTCTACAAACCTTCGCTGCTCCAAACCCTTTCAATGCGCAAGGTGGGAAGGCCGGCTTCCCTCATGCAGATCCCTGGTATATGGGAGGTTTCTGGTAAGGGATGAATTGAAAACAAGGCGGACATGTTAGCTCATCTATTTTCAGAGACTAAGTTGAAATACTCTTGACTTGCAAATTGAGACAGATCCTGAGATCTGGATTGCTGCAGGCAATGTCGTAGGATGGCGCTGAGAATTGTCCCATCATCAGTTTGGCCAGGCTAGAGCACCCAAAAGAAAATAGGAGCAGGAGCGCCCGATTAAAGTAGGTCTACTGAACCTTATATAATATCACATAAATTAAATGTAGATCTCAGTTGAACCTGTCCTTTTACAGGAACTAATCTTGTCCTTGAGTAGATGACTTTAAGACGGTGCGTGCCCTGGTGTGTGTGTGTGTGTGTTGAGCAGAGGACAGGGGGGTGCATTTGCAACTATCTTAGAAAGTCCCTGTCCAGCATATTACAATAGAACGTGGAATGTGTGTGCTATTCGGAAATAACCAAGACTGTTTTCCTTCAGCCTTATCGATAATGATCACAAAGAAAACAAGTTGGGATGTCCACATTGGTCTGGGGCTCGATGGACTCTCTGAATTCCCAAGAAACATCCTGTTCCAGTGCTAAAGCCAGTTCTACTTCACGCAATTACCTTTTTGGGATCAGATAATTGGGCTTGGAATGAAGTTATCTTTGCATGGGACCGATCACATCTATAGTATACTCATCGTGTGCCATAGGCTCATGAAATAAATTATGTAAATGCCAGGCATTAAAAACAAACAGTGAAGAAAAATTTATAAGGATGGAATAGAATAGAATGAGATATCAGAGATATAGTCGGTTCAGGCATTAGCTTTGCTGTGTCTGTGTGTTTTGTTACTATGATATCCTATATGAAAATGTCATCATTCAGCTCAGACATAGAGCTCCTTCAGAGTTGGTTACCTTTTATAGCTATGGTACCAACTACTCTACGTTGAAACTGGTCTCCGGGCTACACACCCACTTTATAGATGGGCACTCTGTCTTCTCCCAGGCTCCTCAAGACACCTGTCTGGAGAATGTATCCACGATTATATCAGGGCAGAAGTACTCCAAAGCAAGCGAGAGCTTGGGGGCCAATTGCTACCAAAGGGTGACATATTGATACACTTCTCCTAAACTTCCAGATCGAAGCTCCCTGGAGGCTCGTGCACACAAACACACGGCCCACTGACACTTCATGGAAGATCATCCAGCCTCAACATGCAGAGCAAACCGATGCCCTTCCTGGCTGGCCAGTGACACAGTGGGCCGCGGTGGTCACAGCCCAGAAGAGAGTCCATTAGCCGGGTGTGTCTTAGGCAGGTCCTTTTGGTGTAACGGTGATACCAGCCACTCTGCACAGGACAAATGGATCATAGGTAGCAAGACGTGCGGCAACGTGGAGGGCTTGTGCTGCAGGGTCTGCAGCTCCTTCGTGTGCCTCAGCACAGGGGGGGGGGGGGGGGGGGGGGGGCGGGGGGGGGGGGGGGGGGGTGAACAGTGGCCAGACAGGTTTGGAGATCTGGCTGATTCACAGTCTGCACAAAGAGCTTCGGAAAAGAATGGTTTTGCTGAACGCCCACACTCTAACATGATGTTCCCAATTTTGCCCCCCTGCAGAGCATACTTAAGAAGTGGGGTGCACACAAGTGGGCCAGCTCAGCAGGTAAGATCGGATATAGAAAGGGAATTATTTATCTGTCATCTAATAAGTTAAACATACACAAAGTGTATTGGTATTTCATTACTCAAGAAAATACCATTAACAACTTCTGGGTGCTGAGGGGTAAAGCACTGTAACAGAGCTCTAGTGGAAATATTTTATAGTAGACCAAGATTTGACAGCCATAATATGAACGCCAAGCATTTCACACCCAAGATGAGCACATGTTCGGAGTTATTGGTTTAAAAATGCCCACGCCGCAGGCTCGCCCGCTTCCATGTGCATGTGCTCCAGCTGTGCTCCCCTGTGCAGGTGTCTAATATCATGTTGTGGGGAAGGGGAGCCCTGATTCCTCACCTGAACCACCCCACCAGCTATCCACATCAGAGCACGAGTCTGAGAGACAGCGATCCCTACTGGCATCTCCCTGCCAGCTGCGGGGGGATTCCACTCCAACCTGGCAACTGCCCACTCGGCCCCCCCCTTCCCCAGCTTTCCGCGGGTTTATGCCTCCTCCTTTGTGACGCTGAGAGACTGTAGTCGCTGAGTAGCCTTTGATGAGAAGAAACTGGTTATTTCCATAAACCAAAGTAATTATTGTTACAACTAGAGACTATATTTAGCAGATACGTTTTTTAGCAACAGATGAAGTCAATGATCAGTTGCTGCCCTTACCATGAGGTGGCTCACAAATTCTTCCCAAGTCAAGTGAGCCACCACGAGATTGAGGACGTACACACAGCACAAAAATGAGGCTCTCTGGCCTGCGATCGGTACCTCTTCCTCTATCCCATAGGTGGGCCAGTGGAGCGTTTCTCCTATTCCTGGGCCTCTAATAGGAAACAGGAATCGCATCGTCGGCCACTCAGCAGGCAAAATTCTGTGTGTGCATGAGCGTGTGAGCATGTGCCATGCGGGAGTGTGTGTGGGTATTCCGCACACCCAGCAATGAGGAGCGTGGTGGGGAGTGACCGGTGTGCAGGCCTAAGCAGTGTGTATCTATCTGTGTGCAACAGCGGTGTGGAAGCATGGAGCTGACATGCGCAGAGTATGAACATGAGTCACCGTGGATTAACATGTATGATTGTGTTTAGCAGGAAAGAATGAGTGTGTATATACAGTGGTGTTTACATGTGTCAGCTCAGATGTGTTAGGGTGTGTGCACACTAAGTGTGAGTGGGTGTGTGCAGTGCTGGAGTGTGCAAGTGTGTTTCCACACCTGTTGTTGAAAATAGGCCCACCAGAGCCATTGTAGAGCTTGGAGATCAACCTTGTCAATCAGCTGCAAATGCCCGCCCCGGAGAACCGCAGGAACAGTCCTGGGATTGCAATGAGTGCACGCATTGCTGCCATCGCGCCCCTGAAGCAGAACATTTGAGAACTCGCTCCCCCCTCACCCCAGCTGGGCCAGTATTAATACCTATGGAATCTCAGGGAATGGTCACAAGAGGCGGCTTACTTCCTATGTTGAGCATTCTCAATATCGTTTTTCAAGTGAGCCCGTCTGCGGGAGGAGGTAAATTTGAAACAGAACAGACGCATGACTTCAACAGCAATCGGACTGATGTTTTATGTCTCTCTGGTCCACCTACAGTAGAGAGTAATATGATAGGGACTTAATAAAACTTTATTATACTTATCTATTTATTTCAAGAATATTACGGAGGTACAAACGTTTTGGTTGCTAACATACCGTTGTGCTGTTTGAGTCAAAGGTACAAGTTGCCCATCCCCCAGATAGTGGCATTGTACCGTTAGGATTAATTACCCCATCCCTCCCCCACAACCTGCTTGATTTCCGATGAAACGGTTACGTTCCCATTGTGCACAACCGTGTGATTGATTATTTCCAAGCGTGGAGTACATGTGTGTTGTTTTCTATTCTGTGAACTCACTTAGAAGAATGGTCTCGCATTTAACAACCAGGTTAAAACAGAGTTATGAGTTCACCATTGTTTTTTTTTATGGCGAAGTATGACTCCATGGTATAAATATTACGACATTTTAATATCCACTCTGTAATTGGGGCAAGCGTTTGAGCGTTTTTCACATCTGCAATTACATGGTGGCTGCTATAGAACATTCTAGTGGCCAAGCGTTCTTTTCCACAGAATGTTTTCCTTTGAGTAGATACCAGTAGTGTTTGCTGGATCAAATGGTAGTATTCTACTTTCCTTGCTTATGAGGTACTCCCTAGTCTTGTCCAGAGAGGCTTACTATTTCATCCACCCAAATATATCGTGTACTCCTATCACTCTCTGCAATCCACACCAGCATTGTTGTTTGGGACTTCATTTTAGAACCAAAAGCATCTCACTGGAGTAAAGTGATATCTCTCTGTGGTTTTGATTTGCATTTTCCTTATAATTAGAGATGTTGAGCACTTTTTCGTATGTTTGTTGGCCATTAGTCTGTCTTCTTTTGAAAACTTTCTGTTTATGTCTTTTGCCCAATTTTAATGGGGTTGTTTGATTTTTCCTTGCTGATTTCCTTGAGTTCTTTATAGATTCTTGTTATCAGCCCTTTATTGGATGTACGGCATGCAACAATTCTGTAGGTTGTCTATTCTCACGATTGTTTCCTTGGGTGTGCAGAAGCTTTTTAATTTGATCAGGTGTATAGGTGACTTTTACTTGCCTGGTCTTTTCCTGGCCATAAAATATGCGCTGAAGATTGTGAAGGAACAGACCTATGTCAGTGCAGAGTAGTAGAATAAAAGACCAAAATCCTTTGTGGGGCCATCTGGGAGACTGGGTTTCTTCTGCTACTCAAGTCCTCTCCTGACCACGTTCCTGCTTTGGAGGCTGACTACTGGGGGCACAACAGGCCTCAGAGCGTTCTTCAGGGGCCTCGCCTTTTCCACTGCTGGAAGGAAAGCACACGTTGCTTGAAGGAGCGAATTTTGCTTGATTTGATGTTAATACAGCTGTCTTTTCTGTGGTCGTCGTTGACAGAGAAAACCCTGAGCCGGAGATGCTGAGTCAGATGACCCTGATGCACCCTCCTAACTCACCTGCTCTTCTGCCTCTGCAGGTTCCTCCACTGCTCACTGATGTGACAGCATTCCCTCTGTCCCCTCACACTCCGTTATCTGCATCCTTAACCGCTGTCTTGCCACAGTGTAAGGACTGGAGTATGTTATCCAAGGTAGAGGCCATGAGCATTGAGAAAGCCATAGCAGGTGGGAACTTGCCGGAGCTGGTCTCTGCCATCAGGGAGACTGTGAAGATGGTGTCCAGGACACCAGTCAATGTTGCTGTGACAGGGGACTCCGGCAATGGCATGTCCAGCTTCATCAATGCGCTTCGGAACATAGGACATGAGGAGGAGGCCTCAGCTCCTGTCGGGGTGCTAAAAACTACCCAAACACATGCCTGCTATCTATCTCCCCACTTCCCCAATGTGGTGCTGTGGGACCTGCCTGGCACAGTGTCCGCCGCCCAAAGCCTGGAGAACTATGCGACGGAAATGCAGTTCAGCCGATATGACTTCTTCATCATCATCGCGTCTGAACAGTTCAGCATGAATCACGTGATGCTTGCCAAAACAGTGGAGGACATGGGAAAACAGTTCTACATTGTCTGGACCAAGCTGGACATGGATCTCAACACAAGTGCCCTCCCAAAAGGGCAGCTGCGGCAGATTATCAGGGAA